GAAAATCAATATTTACGAATGAAAAGTAATCTTTTTCGAAAATCTATTTGTGCATCCATATGCAACACAAGCTGACATGCTTCAAAAAGAAAAGGGAAAAAAATATATTGTAATTACAGACTTTCTTGCACAAGTCACATCGATAATAGAAACATGCCCGCCAAGCTTCCCCGTTTAAGTTGAACACGGAGTATAAATTTATATTCCGTGGTTGAACCTTCCATCCTTCTATTCTAACCTCCTTCACCTAAATGTTTTTTTTTTTTTTTTTTTTTTGTCACTGCAGAACGTTTTAACGGGTGCAAATAAGGCTCCTATATACCAGGCTGAATCATCAGGCATTCGCGCTCCCAAGTGGGACATTTAATGGCGGCTGTGTAGTTACGGTGCAACAATTTTTTGTGTTTCTTTTGTGTAAAATGGGCGGATGTACAGCTATTAATTGTTCAAATCATTCACGAAAAGTCATACATTGGTAAAATTTCCTAAAAATGAAGAAAGAAGAAAAATATGGGTAAATAATTGCCGAAGAGACAATTGGAAACCTGGTCCAGGCGCTGAACTTTGCTTAGTAAGTATAATGTTAATTACGCCTTCATTTAGAGTTTATATCTTCTCTGATGTTTATAATGTGCAAGTAAAGTGAAATTCTTGTGTACAATAACCTGAGTATCTGCTAATTTCTGTAATAATAGCTATAATTAAATTAGTCTAGGGTTAATGTACCCGTCGCCAAACACATCGCCAATGTAGATGTTTTGAATATGGAAAAGAAATTTCTCTTCTAATATAAAGCGCGGATTTTGTTTTCCTGTGCTAATTGTGGAATTTATACTAATGTAACATGAAAATCATTAGCATATTGAAATTTATTAAAAAATAATAAATAATAATTGGAAAGTCAAGATAAAATCTGAATGTTTGCTAAAGATATATGTAACATTATACTATAGTTGCAATATCGTTGGAATGATATATAATTTTTTCCTTTATTTTATAATCACTATTGTTAAAAGTTAGATGAGTTGTTTATGCACGGTGCCCACTACTGTTTCTTGGTTAAAATAACTTCCAGAATTTTGACATTGACATCTGAAGTCAATAGAATAAATTGAATAGTGTGAGACAAAATATGTATAATCTGACTTCAATAATTGCAAGGATTGTGCAAGTTTATTTATAATCACAGTATTATACAATTTGGCAATGGAGTAAAGATTTAGAAATGAATGCAGAACATTCAAATTAGTATTTTCTTGTTTCTAATATATAGAAATATAGTCTATTTTCCAGTATAAAAGTTTTACTTAAAAGTATGGGAAAGCAGATTTGTTTCATGCATGATCTTTATAATACTGGTATGAAATGAATGAATTTTAATCTGTAAACAATTTTTTGTTAATATTGAAATGCGTTTCTTTGGGTACATTTTTAGGCACTTGTGGATCATGTCAGACAATATGCAATAGAAAAAAGATGTCCGTGTGCATAAATTTTCCCATTGTGTTACTTCATTTTATCTAAATTTCAAGGGTAATTCTTTTCATTTTTATATGGCATGTTATCAGTATAAAGGCTAGTGAAAATAAATTGGTATGTGTATCTGTTTTTGAAGTGTAATGCTTAAATAAAAAGATGGTGTGTGTTTCTTCATTTAAACAAAATTTCAAGGATAGTATTTTTCAGTGTTTGTTATTTCTCAATGTAAAGGGTAACAAGGGGAAAAAAAACTGGTATGGTATATCTGTTTTTTAAGCATGATAATTTTATTTATTTCTTTAGTGATGCATATATATAGAGAGAAGGTGTTTGGTCCAACTGAAGTTATAATAAATCTAATTTTACTAGATCTCTCCCTCCCCTCAGGTGTAGAAAATTTTCAAGTGCAGAAAGTTTATTTGCAGAATTAATTCATTTCTGATAAACTTATTATCATTAATTTTTTATATAACATGTTATTAAGTTACACATTTGACTACTGTGTAATAAAATTGTATTTAGGGCAAAAAATTAACTATATTTTGCATCTGGTGACTAATATCATATGCTTCTAAGAATATTACTTTAACTTTTTCCATAATTTTTGTATTTCAGGAACATGAAACTGTTATTTTGATATACTTAAATAATAAAAGTGTGTGTATCTGAATCAATTAATGGATACAAATATTTTACAGTTATTTTTAGAAGATATTTGCCATATCGCTTCTAATAATTCATAAAGTATGTTAAAATATAGGTAAATAATTTGGTGCAGAATTCAAATTTAGGGTTTAAAATATAGTGAATATAGTGAATCATAAGACTAAATGATTTTTATTGTCATGATTTGCCTGGGCTTAAGAATGTACTTTTCGCCCGGTGGAAATTGTCATCAAACTGTCCTGAACAGGCTTTTTGTTGATAATAACTTCCAGGCTTATCAGTACCCTCCTTTTGAGTGGAGGGTATGCAAATATAGTACCCAATTTAAATTACATTGTGATTGTAATAATATTGTGTAATGAAATAAGTGATTATAATTACAATTTAGGTAATTGCATTGTAATTATATTACATTGTATCTGTGAACTCTTAATTTCATTACTTTATGCAATTATGTTGTAAGTGCATAATCTAATTGCAATAATATAATCTATTCGCAATTACAAAATAATTATAAATGCAGTTACATCTTAAATAGAGGCCATTTTAATACTTTTAAATTTTCGCAAGATAACTTCCCATTAAGGTTCATTTGGAGGAAACTATGCAAATACTTAAAAAAGAAGTTATGCTAAATTTACATATTTTGTACAGTACTTTCTTGTTATAATGCTGTTCAATATATCTTCAATACTTTTGTAAATTTAACGACATTCTTTGCAATCACTGTGGTGCTTTAAAAAGAAGTTTCTTAGTTATGCTTTCTAATAAGAATGGGTTTAAAATTAAGTATTATGTATAATAACTAGCAGTTAAAAAAACTTGACTGCATGAAAATGCTGTTGCTGTGTAAAATAAAAAATAAGCTTTCTTTTATGCTTTGAAATGAATTACATGTGGTTAAGTCGTCCTTTTACAATTTAAGAATGTGGTTAACACACATTCTTAAATGTGGTTAACACACATTCTTAAATTCGACAGGTTTTATCTAAATTATTAGTATAAAAATATATAAACTATGAATTATTTTGTAACATAACTCAAATTACAAAAATTCATTCTATATACGTTCAAAGTTTATTATCTTTTATGGAATAACTGTTTTTTAATTTAGGTAAAAACTGGATTTTTAGAAGTATTACAAATACAATGCAACACAAAGGTGATCTGATTGAAGAGGAAGGACTTTTTATTACGGTTTCTAGTTCGTATTTATATTACATTTGATGAAAAGCATCCAAAACACAGAATGCTGTACTTTCTTCTTCCATATTATGTTATGAAATATTTCACACATTTAAAAGAAAGTGTTTCTTCAGAATCTTGCACAATTATTTCCATGTACCTCAGACTTAAATGACAACATATTCTTAAGTTATTTTTTAGTATGAATTTACAGTGTTTTTATGGAAATTTTTGTTAAAATGTCATTAAGATAAATTTATTTGCACACTCTACGCTTTAACTATTTCCCCATTTGACACTATTGAAAGTTTTTATTCATATCTTATTTATTTTAGTCTGCTAACGAAACTGAAACATCTAAAGAATAAGTTATTTTGAATATGTTTACAAAATATACGCGAAATTTTTATTTAAGTGAAAACGTCTATATACTATTCGAGAATTAATAAATTATCCGAAAAGTTTATATGCGCTGAATGCCGCGCGTCTATAAAATAAATCTTTAAAAAAACAGCAGACATTCAGCCAGCGTGTGCGATAAACGCGCCAAAATTGGCAGCGCGTTCACTCCCTCGCCAAGAGAGAAAAGTTGGTGATTCAGCCTGGTTTAGAGGAGCCTTAGGTGCAAAACAAGACATCTGTATACTCAAGGGGTTTGCTTTCGATTTTGGCGTGTGTCTGTACATAATTGTGACGGACTAGTCTAAACATAGCTCCGAAATTTTTTAAATAAAAGTTTCAGTAAATGTTTTCAACTCTCTAAAGTTTAATGCACTGTTCCTATGCAATGTCTCATTCATCAAATTTAAAAAGGAAACTTCGCTTCTTCGAAACTTCAGGTATTTTGTTAGCTGTTCACTATCAACACGAGAAATCCAAAAGAGGCCCTGACACGGAATAGTCAGATAAGTAACATTCTGTTCTCTATACAATATCTGTTTCTCTATCACTAGAGTGCCATTAAATTTCTTTATTTATTATTTTTCATAAGATTCTAGCATTATACAATTGTTGGTAATAGTAGCAGGTCATGTGGTTCTTTTTCATGCTAAGGAATGTGGTGTCTCTACGGAATAGGTTTCTACCTATTCCGTAGAGACGCCACATTCCTTATTAGTAGTCCGTTCTTATCAGCAACTCACACTGTGTATGGATTTATGATTTTGTCAATTACTGTTTTTATGAAATATACATGAATTTTTTAGGAACGATAATATTAAATGTTACTTTAAAATATTATGTACATCTCTGTGATGATATATGTCTTTTCTAGTTAGGTCTCAAGATAAGGGCATGCACATTACCATGTAGGAAATCATTCATTCATTTTTTTTTTTAACTTAGCTAAAGTTTGCTTTTTAAAGACACGAATTTTTGCAGATGAACTCCTTAACTACACTCATGGACACAATCCTATTTTAGGTTTCTATAGGCCCTTTTTTTTTTTCCCTCTATTATTTTTGGGCCATTTAATTTAAATTTTATTTTGTCCCATCTTTTCTTTCTGGCCTTTTGAACTCGTACAAAATGTACGAAGTTCCTTTTTACTCTCCTCAAATACGAAATTGCCCCCCTTTCTACATACCTTTCCTTCGCACCTATGCTTGATTTTTCGCCCATCGGCGCAGAAAGACTTAGCGGGTGCAAAACAAGACATCTGTCTACTTTGTCTTTCTGTCTGTATACTCAAGGAGTTGTATATATTTTGCAACGAGGTTCCTTGATACTTTGCCTATCGTGATGATCTTCTGCGATCAATGACTTACCGGTGACATTTGACCTGTAAACATCTTCGATATTATTATTTTGTCTCTCTGCAAGCATGGAAAATATTGGATGTTTAGAAAATGTAGTGGTCAAACAAGAACCAGAAGATGCTAATGAGATTGAAGATTCTAATGATATACTTTCAACGACCGTTCAACAAGATGACATAACTATTTCTAACTGTGAGTCATTTGAAATTAAAGACGAACCTTTGGAGAAAGCCCCTGAAATTGATTATGATGCAATTGGAGAATTTTGCTTTGAATCTGACCATTTAGCTTTAAAAACTAATAGCGATTACAAAAATCTTCTGGAGGTAAGTCAATAAAGTCTTTAATTTCTTATTTTCTTTTGTTAAGCTCATTATTTGTCTCAAATTAAGATTTTTCTTTTTATAAGTTAAGAAAGTTTTCTTTTATAAGTTAATATGTTAAGAAAAGAAGCAGAAGTAATATTAGGTACAGTTCCGGGCTAAAGTGCAGAATCGCCCACTTATTTGTTTGGCGCTTTTTACAAGAATAAGAAGAATTGGGCTCGTCGGGACTTCGGCGATTCCGGATTATAGATCATCAGTTTAAATCGCGTAAGATGGCATGCAGAAATTCTAAAATTAAAAATATGAAACCGTAATTTATAAAATAAAGAACAATTATGATCTAAAGGGTATCAAAATTTACAAAAAAAAAAAAAAAAAGCTTAATATTTTTGTTTTTTTTACTTTATTAAACATTTCTTTCAATGTAAGTTGTTTAAGTTGCTTCGTTTTATGTTATAATACTTTCTCTTTAATTCTATAAACAGACATAATTTTTTGTTCAGTTACAAAGTTCCGCTGTTCAAGTCATGTTAATTGCTGTGCCGAGAATACCGACTAACTTGTCAATCGAAATTTTTTTCGTTTTCACTAACCTCTCTGTCCTATTCTTCATGTCTTTATCCATTTTTTGCAGCAATTCCACTTTTTGTTTGATGGACATCGAAACATACTTCGTTTTGTATGATCCTTTGGGAACTCCAGAATCGGAAATTCTGGTTGTACATTATGGTATTCTTACATTATGGTATGTGCGCCTGTTTCAGGATCTTTAAAATCATACTTATAGTTCACAGCAAGGTACCAGGTAAAATAAATAACTTAATAAAACATCTTTACTTCTATCTCGCACAACCTTAAAGAAACACTTATTACTACCCCTTTCAATCCCACTAAATACCCATTTCGAATTCACTTTAGTTAGGGCCATGGGATCCAAAAATTAACGAACACTGTTTCACACAACACAGAATAAAGCCAAATACAACATTGCCAGATTTTTTCCCGATTTCCCCCCTTTTCCGATTAAAGAACCATAATTCGTCCATTAATATCACATGACATATCCCATGATCTCTCATTTCCTTCACACAAAATAATGCGTAATCGGAACTGAGTACTGCTCACATTATTACCAAAGTCACAGGTATTATTACCTTTATCGCCTCCAAAATGTTGCCAAACTACCAGTTACCATACTCTAAAGATCAGCCGAAATTCTATTTGACATAATCGAAAGTTCAAGTTTACTTTTATAGTATTGCTGTTACAGTCTGCAAAAAATAATAAGCTGGATCCAATTTAAAAATTAAGGAAAATTCGAAAATTAAGCAATCATCAACATTAACTGAAATAGATAATTATATAATTTTAGCTCATACTGTCCGTTATACATAAAACGCACATGCGAAAACGTATTCCGCACTTGCGCACACATAAACGCATAAACGCCTATGCGCATGTGTCAACGTGGCGCATGCGCAGAAAGTTTTTAGCTTTGAGGTCCGGATTATAGATCATTCCGAATTATGGAATTTGACGAATTAACGACTTTTGACTGTATTACACATTATGTATCAATTTAAAGGTTCATTTATCAAGATCAAATTTCCAAATTAACATAATAAAAAGATTCTCATGATTATCCACTAACATTAAATTATATTTAAAGTGGATCTCACCTAAACTAATCAAGAATTTTACAATTTACAAAATTACACAGTTTAAAGGCAACAATTTCAAATTCTCTTTAAGGTACAAAGCAATTTTCTCATTATTAAATTAATTTTGCCATTTATAAATTAATTTCCCCTTTCCACTAAAATGCAAGATTTGTTAACTTCTTCTGGCCAAATAATCTATGATTCCTGTAAATAATATATAAAAAAAATAAGGAACTCACTGTTAGCAGTCAGGAAAAACCTTCGTCACTCGCACCAGAATTTTCGATAACTTGTAGAATAAGTCCCCTATTTCTGTGTCAAGTAGAACTGTGTAGTAGTCAAGGCGCGCAATGAGCTGAAAGTTGATCTGTCAGCACTATCGTTATCTTCAGGGCAGATGTTTTATTTTATTCGGCTTATAATTCCTTACTAAATGTAGTATTTAATCTCGATGTACTCCGTCTTTGATATGATTTAAATCGGTTGATCTTTACATTATGGTAACTTGGCGTTTTTTTGGCGAAAATTTGGCGACCAACTCTCCTACAGCAACCCTCTATTTTTTTTTTCCCGCCGCCATTTTGTCTTCACTAAGTAAAGACATGTTTCTTTTCTTTTTATCTACTCAACACTTCTTCCAACAATCTACTAGCCGAATTACACTTATACTAGAAATTTTATCTAACAAAACTGCTTAATCATGACAAATATTCCCTTCAAAATTGGGAAAAAGTGCACAATACCATACTCCTTACGCGTTTTTCAAAATAACACATACACATAAACCATGTACACGCCGACTTATTTTTACTTAGAAAAACATCCCAGAATTGCACAAAAATGGCATTGCGCACACTCTTCACTATATCCATGTACACTGCTTTTTTCTCATAAATTAGAAAAATTTCACGAAAATACATGACAATTTTCTCAATCTTTAAACCCGGTAAAAAGAACATATATGAAATTACCTGATAACATATACCAAATTCCTACAAACATAAAATTCACAAAATAACTATCATTTAATTAAAATATAATTAAATTAAAAAACACTACTTAAAATATAAATGAGCACATACATTAAATTAATAAAAATTACCTTACAATCCTAATTACTTTAAACTAAATCATTGCTAATAACAATTTTCCCAATACAGTCAAAAGTCGTTAATCCGGAATCGTCGGGACTTCGGCGATTCCGGATTATAGATCATCAGTTTAAATCTCGTAAGATGGCATGCAGAAATTCTAAAATTAAAAATAAGAAACCGTAATTTATGAAATAAAGAACAATTATGATCTAAAGGGTATCAAAATTTACAAAAAAAAAAAAAAAAAAAAAAAGCTTAATATTTAAATTTATTTGTTTACTTTATTAAACATTTCTCTCAATGTAAGTTGTTTAAGTTGCTTCATTTTATGTGATAATACTTTCTTTTTAATTCTATAAAAAGACATAATTTCTTGTTCAGTTACAAAGTTCCGCTGTTCAAGTCCCGGTAATTGCTGTGCCGAGAATACCGACTAACTTGTCAATCGAATTTTTTTCGTTTTCACTAACCTCTCTGTCACATTCTTCATGTCTTTATCCATTTTTTGCAGCAATTCCACTTTTTGTTTGTTGGACATCGAAACATACAGTGTCTCAAAAAAGTGATGGGACACTTGTGCTTTACAAAAGGAAACTGTATTAAAATAAATTAAAAAAACATGTAAAATTTTTTGTGGGTGTGTTTCATACTTAAATTTAGTAACAATTATTACATAACCACACATTATTCTCAAAATATTAAAATGTTAATTTAAAGAAAATACAATTGTTTAGAACGGAGCAGAAAAATGGCTCACTTAAGTGATTGGATACTCACGTAAGTGATGGGGCATTTACTTTTCCATCAAATATTTATCCAAAAAATTTTACTTTTAAAAGGTTTTAATATTTTTTGTATTTCCTTTTACTTTTAAAATGTGAATTAATCTTCTTGGGATGGATTTGACTCATTTTTTGTGATTTCTGGAGTGATTTTACCCCATTCTTCTTGAAGCACCGATTTTAATTGTTGTTTTGAAGAAATGGTGTGTTTGCGAATTCTTGATTCCAATTCTTGCCAAATATTCTCTATGGGATTTAATTGTGGAGATTGTGGGGGTGTTTTTATTATTTCAGGACAGTTATACAGCAGCCAGAGTCTAACGTTCAAAGCACTGTGCTTGGGGTCATTGTCCTGGTAGAATTTAAAATCATTATGAAGGTTCAAGTTTCGTGCTGAAGATTTCAAATTTTGATTTAAAATGTCAATATACTTTGTACTTCCATTATACTGTCAATAAAAAAAGATTACCAACTCCAGCGGACGACATAAAACCCCCATACCATAACTCCTCCTCCACCATGTTTTACTGTTGGCACCAAGTTCTGTTTTCGAAATTCTTCCCGGATTTTCTCGACACCAAGATTCTACCGTCAGAACCAAATATATTAAATTTACTCTCATCAGCAAATATAACTTCATTCAGTAATCAGAATTCTTATTTATGTTGGATTTTGCGAAAGCCAGTCTGAGTTTTCTATTCTTTCACTTACGAAAAATTTTTTCCTGGCTGATCTACCGTGATATCCAGTAGATCGAATTACTCTTCTAATAGTCTCAGAATTAACAATTACTCCATATAATGCTTGTAAATCAGCAGCAACTTTAGGAGCACTCATTCTTGGATTTGTTTTAAATATTCGAACGATAATTCGCTTTATTCCATTGGATAGCTTTGATGTCGGATAGGTTTCTTTTATCCTGAATCATATGATTTGTTTTTATATCGTTTAATGATATTGAAAACTGTTGAATGACTGAAGTTAACTGTTTCAGTAGCTCCTCTAATAGATTTTCCACGTTCAATATGCAAATTAATAACTAATTTTCGAATTCCAGGCAAAGTTTCTTTTCGTTTAGCATTCATGGCTGCACAGAGCTAAAATACACAAAAATTCCAAAACAAACTGGAGAAAATACTGCAGACGATTTTTATAAATTATTGGCAATTGCTTTTTTGAGTAAAATAAATACCCCAAAAGATATTTTTATTGCTTACTTCAGACGATTTTTGTTGCATAGTACGTAGTGTCCCATTACTTAAGTGAGCCATTTTCTGCTCCGTTCTAAACAATTGTATTTTTATGAAATTAATATTTTAATATTTTGAGAAAATGTATGTTATGTAATAATTGTTTACTAAATTTAAGTATGAAACACACCACAAAAATTTTACATGTGTTTTAAATTTATTTTATTGCAGTTTCGTTTTGTAAAGTACAAGTGTCCCATCACTTTTTTGAGA